AGGCCACGTAAAATGCATGTCGGCGCTCTGTCTGTGTGCGCGCATTTGCCGACGCCAGGAACGCCGACAGCACCGATACATTCGGCACCTGAAGTGACGAAAACACCGTAAATACCGATGAAATCGCCCTGTCGGTTGCGCGCGTTTACGCGATGACGGAGCGTTGTTATTAGTCTTGTTGCCTCTGTTACTGTCGTTATTGCTGGCATCATGCTGTTGTCAAAGCTCTTGTTGTCGTCCCTGTTGAAGCTGCTGGTGTTGTTGGTGTTGTTGTGGTCATTGCTGTTGTTGCAATAATCAAGCTGATTTGGTCACTTTTCACGAGCCAACCCTCACTTCCCCCCTGCCACCAGAAACCGGCTAGGTCTCAGCTTTCAAGCTACATGTGTGTTAGAGCTTGCTCAAGCAAGCCCGGATGACTGAGGTTCGAGATTTGAGCTCAGGACAAAGGTGGAGCCACCGAAGCCATCATCATGGATGTGGCCGTTTTCTGTCCGACCTGTCAAAGCATGCAGCAAGGAGCGCGAAGCACCCTGACATTGCATGCCGTGCCACCCGGCCTCTGCCTCTGGGTTGGGCAAGTTCAACAAAATTGATTCGCCCTTGGCCCGTAGAGACTGCCGGATTAGAGTACCTGACAGAGCATCCAGGCCACTATAAAGCAGCACTTCTTCGCGCGATGGCTTGTTGCATATTCTCTCGCTGCCACATGCTGCAACAGCCTCTCGATGTGGTTAACGTCACTGTGGCTCTCAGATCTTCGGGTTCTTGCCCATGTCAACTTTGATAGAACAGGTGCTTGGTGTTTGGACACTCAAACCTTCGGTAGTCTCTGGATTTGGCCGAAATGGCAGCTCGCAGGACATTCTGCGACTTTCACTGTGGGACGGTCCATCCACAGCGGCGTTCATGACGGCATTTCGTACTTCACATGGCACACATCAGGCAACTTGAAGGTAGCTGGCCAGGCCCCGGGAACGAACATCAACAGATCCCTAGTCGGCCATCCAACTTTACTCTAAGAACGGGCAGATTCGGGTAGATGTTCCATTCTTGGCAGCTTTCGATGAAGCAAGAACGTCTTGATCTTGATCTGTCCAGTCGCCATGACTCCCTCGAAATGACGCAAATGATGAACTTAACAACGCAAACATGTTCCGCCGTCGCATCAACGCAAGAACAAACCTCGCGACTGCTGGGTGGTGCATTGACCTTGCATGACATTGCCAAAAAAGTCTCCCTCCAGCCACTGCCGCCGTGATATGGATTAAGCCGTGGAAATGCTTATTTCGGCAGAGATGTCGGTGCTGCCAGCGGTGGTGCGACATGGACTCACTCTCAGTCCCTCTAGAGTAGGAGCCTGTCGTCCCGGAATCGAAGAGGCCCTGCACCGGTGTCCGCGTCTTGCTTACACCTGAGCCAGGACTGCGAGCAAGTGCGAGCCGCGCGTGTCATAGCACAAACATGAGGTCTTCGGCGGTTGAACACTTAGGTCTGAACCGGCTGGACCAGCCCCCTTGCTCTGGATCTGTGTCTTGCGCTCCTGCACCCAAACCATTTGCCAAACTTCTGTCCAATATGTTTCCTCTAGTCTTAGAACACCACACTCCTCACGGACGAGCTCGCGAGTCTGTTTCTCACTCCTTAGAGCACACTATGGAAATTACGCCCCGAAGACGGCGTTTGTCTGCGCAGTGACTGCGACTTTGCAAACCCTCCCGGGATAATATGTGGTACGGCGACCCGGTTGAAGGATGACTCTGTCGCATCGCCAGTCGTCGATCTGGTCCTCTTTGCCCCTTGTGAGGCCCGGTCCCACCGATGCCACTGTCCACGGTCATCGCGCAGTGGCCTGTGCATGCACAGAACATCACAGAACAATCTCATTTCTACCGGCTCTGTCACGAACTGCCATCGTCTTGAGGTTCGAACGGCAGATGACAAAGCATGAGCCAGATTGGCTTGAGTCATCTTGAGTCAAAATGGCCAAACATACTTCGATCGCAAGGTCGGGCTAGTTCTGGAAATCATTGACTTAGAAATTCAACAGTCTTGGCGGGACTCTTCGTGCTGTCGCAAAGAAGTTGCTTTTGCATGTGACTCATGCAGGATGGCGTTCATGGAGGCTTTCCATGGCTGTCCTGATGTCGGACGACACCTCCTTGCAGGGACGGCAAAATCCATTTTTGTCCGCAGGGCCGTCTGCTCAAAGCTCCACATGAAGTCGGCGTGCCTCCAGCACAGGTCACGGACCCTCTGTACTGAGTCATTGGGTTATGTCGTCAGCGAACCTTTTCCAAAGCACCCTGGGGCTGACGCGAATCACTTTCCCCCACGGGTTTTTCTGGACAGCTCAATAATGTTGCCCGGTCTCAGCGCAAAGGCCAGTCACAAGCTGTGGAAGCATGCAAAGTGCTGTAAAGATATGCACAAGCACATGCTCTTGGATGCATACGCGATGTTGTAGAAGGCCAATGAATTGGCCTGAGACATTTCATTCTACGAGAACGAAACAACCGTTCAAAGCTGTGCTCCGGGCATTTTTCAGGATGTAGCCTGTGTTCTGAACCTGCGTAGTCGTAGGTGTAGCACTTGTTTGGAAAAGCACTCCAACTTAAAAGCTTTTTACAAACTCTTGCTTGTTCATGCACCTTGAGCTTCATGTCGGCTGCACTCAGTCCGGCAGCTGCTACCTGTCACGACGCGAGTTGTCTGGATAACCATTGAGATGGGCCGCTGCTCATAACGCGGCCTTGGGAACCAGCATTCCCTTGAGCTCTTGCACTTTGTTGCGCACAGACCTGCAAGACGTTGCTTTGCACTCCATCTGCTCCCATCCATCAGGCTGAAGCTCGAAGTGCAGCAAGGGAACACTTCGATGGGGATGGCAGGCTGGATGCCCGCAGCCAGTGCGTCGGCTCCCAGGTTCACCTCGGGAAGCCGAGTTGATGCCCTTGGCATGATCAAATCGTTCTCAGCGACTTGGCCTGGACGATCACAGCTATGGGCACAGGATGTTTCGCCACCTTGGCAGCTTGCAGAAGGGCAATTGACGCCTTCGTCTTCCGTTGGACAAACAAGCCGCATCGACATCAGTGTTCCGGAACACCAGCGGCTTGCAACATCATGGGTGGACCCTGAAGAATTTATGGGAAGGTTGTCAGTAGACCTCAGTTCTCCTGGCCGTGACTCCATCCCCAAGGTGGCGTCTGAACAAATGGAAATCTTCCTCCTCCCAGAAAAGCTGAGATCCAAGCCCACGATTCCTCGGCTTGGAGGCTTCCGTCGTCTAGGCGGGGCTTCTTCGCCGTTGGCTCGTCGTCCTCGTCATCGTCCGCTAAAGCCATCGGGCCTGCTTCCAGATTTGCGGAGAAAGATGGAGGTGAGCGCGTGAGCCCCGTCGGCTGTACCTCCGGCCATTCCTGGCGGACGGATGCCAGGAGGCGCACCACCCTTAGCACGGAGTTTTGCGAAGACGAACTGGTGCCCGGATTTCCCAAAAAATGGCAGAGAATAGAATAGACGCGCGTTCACTCTCGCAAAAACTCTTGCTGTCTGCAGCAAGCAGGCCTGCAATTGTCTGCAGAGTCTTGCCATGACACAGCTCAACGACGTCTCAACGACATCGATGTTCTAGACTGATGCTCTCACGACCCCGTGCCGACAAAAGAAAGCATTCAGACTGGATTCGCCCCAGATCCACGGAGAGGTCGGCTCAGAAGTTCAGGAGTGCCGTATACTTCGAACCCAGTCCCAAAACGATACCGAATGTTTGAAACCGTCCCGAATCAGACATGAGCCTCGCTTGCAAGCCCTCTGCGTGGAGGAACAGTGAGGTTTCTAGAATTCGTCGCCTCTCCGATACGGCACGAGCAAAAGTAAACACCAAAGGCTCCCACACAAGCATATACCATCAGAATGCAACAGCACACTTCAGAATAACATGGCGACGGTGATGATGATGATGATGGTGATGATGATGATGATGATGGTGGTTGTGGTGGTGGTGGTGGTGATGATGAAGATGACGACGGTGATGACGGTGATGACGATGACGATGCCGATGCCGATGATGGTGATGGTGATAGTGATGATGATGATGATGGTGATGATGGTGATGGTGATGATGATGATGATGAAGAGGATGATGATGGTGACGGTGACGGTGATGGTGATGGTGTTTATGATGATAAGGATGATGATGATGATGAAGATGATGGTGATATGATTGTAGTGATTGTGGTTGTTTGAGATGGCTTTGACTTAAGACTGTACAGCTGTGGTCGGAAGTCACGGATTTGAGTCCCTTGGTTTGCGGAATGGTCTTTCAGCCGTCGCTGGCGATTGCGGGGCGGCGCGTCATAAAATCGCCGCGACACAATCCAAACCACCAGTAGCCCCAAATGCACCTGTAAAGGGTGTCACCCAAGATTGTGTCTGTTGCGGTCGCGGTTGCTCCAAACAGTAAGCTTGCTAGACCAGTCTGACCCCAGCGATGCGAGTCGCGAGCATTCAAACGGTTCCAGAGTCTCAATATCCAAGCCAGTCCTGCCCAAATTTTCTCGTTACTTCAACTGAGAAATTGCAGCCCCAACAAATCAGGATATGTCAGGGCCTTTGCGAACGAGCAAGACTTGTACAAAACTGATCTACGTAGGCCAATTCGACTCCCTTGCCATTTCCAGTGGTAAAAAGAAGAAAAGCTGTGGGTTTTGAGCTTCGCTTCCAGGGTCAATGGTTCGGGGTTTATAGGTCAGGATCTTGGTGTTTCAAGATTTCAGGGCTAGGGCTTGAAGGTTGGGGAAGATTGCTGGCGATGCTTCGTAGCAGAGGCGTCTTGAGACAGCTTGGCGTTCCTGGGTCCATGGTTGCTTGGGGTTCCTGGGCTCTTTTGCACGACTTGTCTTCAGCGCCAGGGTCTGAGCAGATCCTGAAGGAAAACAGGATGAGGCTGATGAGAATGGATAGGACTGAGGTCAGTGTTAGCACAATGTCGGTGGTGGTAGAACCAACCTGAGGGAGTGACCGGCATCTGTTGCTGGTTTACCAGAGATGCTTGAGGTAACCTGCGTCCGCACTGTAGGAACGTCCAACTGGGCACAGCTCATCTCACACTGGCCTAGCGTTGATCGTAGACACACCTGCAATGGGGCCTTGCTGTCCGGCCAGAGCCTCAGCGAAAGCATGAGAAAGCGATTCCCTGCGGCTTGCCGCCTTGCCCCCCCTCCCAAACCCACCGGCCCCCGTTCCCCAGCCAACCCTCCAGCTCTCTACACCTTCCATATCCTTCCATCACCTTCCCGCCCGCCCTCCAATGCTGATCGCCGTCGTAGCCTTCACCTGCTTGCCTCGTGTGCTGAGACTCGTGCAGGCATCGAAGGAGCCGGCAGCGCAGATGAGCCTGCTGCCCCGGGCCTTGCAAGAAAGAAACAGCCCAAGCTCCGACGTTATGTTTCAGGCACTACCCAGACTATAAGCTCAAACTTCTGGCTGAGAAGTCGGCTTTCCTGAAGGCAGAGCCTTTGTTGCTGTTCCTGTTCCTGATTCAATCGCCGTTGGGGGCACCATCGTGTGCGCCTCGGAAATCGGAACATTAACGAAAGCTCTGCAAAAGCTCTCACAAGATGGTCCGGGCTCCGTGCTGGACCGGCATCTGCGCCAGCATCTCGTGCTGCGGCCTCGGCACCTGCCTCTGCTGCTTCTCGAATCTCCTCCTCGACAGTACCGAACAAGTCGGGCCTGCAACAAAAGCAATGCAGACAAAAGAGGTGCTGAGATGCTGTAAGAACGCTTTCATGCAGTAGTTCAACGACGGTGCCTTGCCTTTTGGCCACGAAGCTTGCCAAGTTTGCCTCTACGTCATCTGCGAACGCAGACTCTTTCCTGCAAACGGTCCATCCGAAATGTCAGAGCTTAACACATAGGCGGGGACCCAACCACTTATTGGACAGTCCTGGCTCGTTCCACCAGGGCATCCTTCTGGTGCTTCCACTTGGGATCTAGCAACAGCACCTGGCAGCTGTGCGAGCAAGCCCTGCACATGTCGACAGGGACCTGCATATCAGAGGTGAAGGCAGCGCTCCATGGTATTTTTTTTGATGTTTTGGTGTTTTGGTTACATCTCTGCTTGTCTCAGCTCCGCCAGACAAGGGCAAGGCCTTTAAGTGGTTGGACATCTCCTCGGCAGCAATCAGCTGGCCTCGCTCAAGTCTTGAAGTAAGTTAAGACCGGACAACCAGAAGGACACACAACATCACCGGTTCAGCAGCTGCACTCGCACCCGTCATCCAACAAGCAGGGACATAATCTTAACGTGCTTGCCCAACTCGTGTACATCAGGTATCTCCAGCACCGACCTGGTGACCTCAAAGTCGCTGGTGGCACTGCAAGACACTCGGTAACTCTCCGGTCCTGCTAGCTACGTCTGCCCGGAGCATGACTACATCTGGCATTTCGGAGCGAACCTGTGATCGGGCAGCGCTGCATCAGCCGCTGTGCACTGCCCTGTCAAAGAAACCACCGAACATCAAAACAAAGCCTGTTGGAACTCCAAGAAACTCCAAAACGAGAGAACACCTTGGGGGAGGCAGGACCTGCAACTTATCGTGGCTCTGCATTGCTGCTTCAATCTCTTGAGGCGCAGGCAGCACGCCGCACCCCTCTCTCCGTCTCCTTCTCTCTCCCTAGCTCTTCTTCACTCTGTCTCACTCTCGCCTCGCTCTCTCTGTCTCTTGATGCCGTCGCACCTTCTTTGTTGCCTCAGTTCTTCACATCATGCGATAGTGCGACTCTTGTCCCATTGTCTCGCAGTCTGTTCCCCTGTGTCCCTTGTTCTTCGTCT